AACAAACTGAGGGTTCTAGAGGGGAGGGGGGTGGGAGGATGGGTTAGCCTGGTGGTGGGTATTGAGGAGGGCACATTCTGCATGGAGCACAGGGTGTTATGCACAAACAATGAATCATGGAACACTACATCTAAAACTAATGATGTAATGTATGGGGATTAACATAAGAATAAAAAAAAAATAAAGTAATATCTACCATTGCAAACAGGAAAAAAAGAAAGTAAACAGCCAATACTAGAAGATTCAACTAATGATATACCACCCAATATGATCATATGAAGTCATTAAAAATTACTTATGGAGATTATGTAGCACTCTGGATAAAATACATAAAATTTTTAAATGAGAAAAGAAATGTAATATATGACTGCAAAAATGAAAAATTTATTTTATATGGGAAAGGTAATTCAAACAAAAATAGTTGTGCTAAGATCATAGGACCAACAAATACTTCATTTTTTAGCATCAGCATTTTATTGGTTTTCAACTTGACATGATAAAAAGTCAAGCAAGCAGAATCCCTCATGGTCCATGCTAGTTGAGCAAAGTGCATCAGACTGCAGGAACAGATGAGCAGAAATACTCTTGTACTAGGTGCTAAATTAAAGTATGAGAAACCAAAGTAACCACCAATAATTAGAAGGACACTTTGACTCGGGGCTGGTGACCCCTGGGCCTCCCTGTGGCATTAGCATCAGTGACCACTTACCTTTCTGATAACAGATTCTCCTTCCACTGCTTCTGTGTTAAGACATTGCATTAGGTTTGCTCACAGCCCCCTGATTTCCTATCTGTCTCTGAGCTCCGGGCTCTTGTTCTAGGCTATTCACCTGCTCATTCTCTTATATGTTGATCTGACATGCCATGTCCCCTGCAACCTGCCCCTGCCTGACTTCCCCTGCTCTCCCGGCATCTGGGTGTGCCCTTGCTCTTCAGTCCATCAGTCACATGGCTCTCAGTCCCCTCGCCCTGACTGCAGGCTCCAGCCTCACGGCCAGCATTCTCCTGCACCTCCACCTTAGACCTTCCACTGTCCAAACTGCACCCAGGACTTGATGCTACCCACACAGGCGAGTTACTCACATCTACAATCTTTCCCAGGTAAGATGAAAAACAGAAAAAGTGCATCAAAAGCCCCAGAATAAATATAAGTACCTTCCAGGCCTTTACTTCACCTGCAAAAGGGAATATCACCTGAGTAGTGATAATTTTTGAAGGACGTTACCAAAAGAGAAAAATAAGAGAAAGTTATCCCTTAAAACTGGCCTCTTAGTTTGGTTGCTCCATAATATAAGTGAATACCAGTAAGTACAAATTCTCTCCTTGGGAACAAAACTAGATGCAATAGTGAAGTTTTTAAAAGCCTACTCTAACTTTCTAAGATAGTATAAAAGTACATAATACTTTTTATTTTAAACACAGTAGCAGATCTATACCAGAAACATAGCTCACTTATCCTTAAACTAAGAAATACAAATCTTTCAGGACTCATCTACCCACTAAATGAAGAGAAATAAGGAATGGAAGGAATGGAGTTACCTGCATATGGGTACTGGTAGGGTACAGCATAAGCCTGCCCGTTTGCAGCATAGACAACTTGAGTTCCTGGAGGGTATACACCACTGTATGGACCATAGCCATATGCCTGCTGAAAAGAAATAGGCCCATCAGAAATACAATTTTGAAATTCAGCATCAATTTGTAATAAAAATTCTCAACAAAGTGGGTGGAGAGGGAATGTAATTCAACTTAATAAAGGTCATATATGACAAGCCTACAGCTTACATCATATTCAACAGTGAAAAGTTCAAAGCTTTCCTCTAAGATCAGGAACAAGACAATAAGATGCCCACTCTTACCACTTTTATTCAACATCATAATCAAAGTCCTGGAGAAAAAGAAATGAAAGGCAAATAAATTGAGAAGTAATAGTAATAGTAATTGAGAAGGAATAGTAAAACTGTCACTATTTGCAGATGATATGATATTATACCTAGAAAACTCTAAAGAAAACTACCAAAAAACTATTAGAACTAAAAAAAGGAATTCAGTGAAGTTACAGGATACAAAATCAATATATACAAAACTGTTGTGTTCCTATACACTAATAACTATCAGAATGACAAATTAAGAAAACTATCCCATTTACAATTATATCAGAAACAGAAAAACCTAGGATTAAATTTAACCAAAGAAGAGAAAGACCTGTACACTGAAAGCCATGAGACACTGAAGAAAAGAAAAAAAATTGAAGGAAACACAAATGAAAAAAATATTCTATGCTCATGGACTGTAAGAATAGTTAAAATGTCCATACTATCCAGAGCAATCTACAGGTTCAATGCAATCGCTATCAGAATTCCAGTGGTATTTTACCCCCAGAAACAGAACGAACAATTCTACAGTTTGTATGGAACCACAAAAGACCCCAATAGCCAAACAACATTAAGGGAAAAAACATCAAAGCAGGAGACATCACACTCACCAATTTCAAACTGTATGACAAAGCTACAGTAATCAAAACAGTATGATACTGGCATAAAAACACACAGACAGATCAATGGAACAGAACAGAGAGCCTAGAAATAAACCCACACATACATGGTCAATTAATTTATGACAAAGAAGCCAAGAATACACTATAGGGAAAGGACAGTCTCTTCAATAAGTGGTGTTTGAAAAACTGGACAGCCACATGTACAGAATGTAACTGAAACACTATCTTATATCATATACAAATTACTATTGTTTTGGGGTGCCACAAAACACACCCATAAAATGGGCAAACTTAATTGATAAATCTTGTGTGTTCTGACTGCTCCACCAGCTACTAGTTCCTGTCTCTCTCCCTCTCAGGCCTTCCTATTTCCTGAGACACAACAATATGGAAATGAGGCCAATTAATAACCCTACAATGGGCTGGCTCAGTCAGTTAAGTGTCTGCCTTTGGCTGAGGTCATGATCCCAGGGTCCTGGGACCAAAGCCCTCAATCGGGCTCGAGCAGGAAGCCTGCTTCTCCCTCTCCCTCTGCTGCTCCCCCTGCTTGTTTGTTCTTTCTCTCTCTCTCTGTCAAATAAATAAATAAATAAAATCTTAAAAAAAAAAAAAAACTACAATGGTCTCTAAGTGGTCAAGTGAAAGGAAGAGTCGCATGTCTCTCTCTTTAAATCAGAACCTAAGAATGATTAAGCTTAGTGAGGAAGGCATGTGGAAAGCCAAGACAGGCCAAAAGCTGGGCCTCTTGTACCAAGCAGTTAGCCAAGTTGTGAACGCAGAGGAAAAATTCTTGAAGGAAATTAAAAGTGTTACTTGGGCGGTGCCTGGGTGGCTCAGCTGGTTAGGCATCCGACTCTTTATCAGGTCATGATCTCAGGGTCGTGAGATGGAGCCCCACATTGGGCTCCATGCTCAGTGCAGAGTCCACTTGAGATTCTCTCTCCCTCTCCCTGTGTCCCTCCCCCTATTCATGTTCTCTCTCTCTAAAATAAATAAATAAAATCTTTAAAAGTGCTACTCCAGTGAACATACAAATGGTAAGCAAAACAGCCATATAGCTAATATGGAGAAAGTCTGAGTAGTCTGGATAGATAGAAAGTCAAACCAGTCCAACATTTCCCTTAAGCCAAAGCCTAATCCTGAGCAAGGCCCTGACTCACTTCAATTCTGTGAAGGCTGAGAGAGGTAAGGAAGCCAGCCTAGCAGCAGAACCCCCTCTAGCAATTTTCAGCAGTTCCGGGAAGGAGAATATGAAGGACTAGGAATGTTGCTGGGTGGGAAGACCCTGAGGTCTGAGACCTCGGCAGGTGAGTGGCAGTCTTCCAGCAGCACATGTCTGTGAATGGGCATTGCGAGACATGGGCAATGGACCCACCTTCCCTGACCAAGTGAATGACTGCTATATTCTGGGAAATCTGGAGACAAAAGGCCCAGCCTTCTTTACGAGCTCACAGGTGGTGGGGGGGAGGGCGAGGAGGACAGATATGCTTACAGACAATTACAATTACTGTTGCCATGTGACAAGTACTGTATGTGGCACAAGGGAGAATAGGTTGCTGCTGTCAGACAAATAGCTGCATAGTTTAAACCTGTCATCTTATAAAAACAGGACACAGGAGTTACGCTTCTGGAAGATGGCAAAGATGTAGGGAACAAAGATGTTCCCTATTCTTCCTACTAAGTACAACTGAAAACCCTGAACATAATATATAAAACAAACATAAAGAGACTCTGAAAGATGGCAAGAAGGTGGCACACTGGCTAGGGACCTCAGGACCCTAAGAAGGACAGATGGTGAGCTCCCTGGGTTTCCTTTTTGCCTCCTATATCCTCGACTAACTAAAGGAGAAGACAAGAACCAGTAAGTACAGACAAAAAGGCCCCCAAGAAAAGCCTGCTCTCTCTACCCAAAAAACCTTGGGAGGAAAGGCGCAATCTGGCAAGAAAGACCATTTTTAGGCAGTAACTGTTCTACTCCAGTCCAACACTACAGAAATAACTGTGGCCCCACCCCAACTCCCACCAGCAAGGCCAAGTATACAGAGTGAGCTTCCATGTTTGGCAGGCTGTAATAAGGCACCCTCCCCCCGCCACCCCTGTCCCAAGTTGTGTCAGAGAAGGCCAAGTAGGGAGCTGAGAATTTCATCCCTGCCAGATGGAGACCATGTAAGAAGCCAGAACTCCCACCTCTGTCCAGCACAAACCAGGTGCCCCTCCCAGACCCATGGGATGCAATCAGCAGAGACCTAGTGGAAAGCACAGTATCAGTGGAAGCTAGTGGGGAGCAGTAAAGAGGAACCCTCCAATTCCCACATAGGCTGGTGTCAGCAGAGACCTGGAGGAGGGCCTAAATTCCCAACCCTCCCGACAAGGAGGTGACAAGAAACCCAACCCCTGGGAGTTTGGCTCAGTGGAGAACCTGCACTTCCATCCCTACATGGCAGCAACAGAGTAACTCCCTCTTCACCCACAAGAACAGCATTGGAAGGGAGTACACTAAAATACAAGATTTAAGTAAGATTCAGTCTCATTAATACTTAAAATGCCCAAGTTTCGATAAAAAATCATTTGTCCTATCAAGTATCAGGAAGATCTCAAAATGAATAAAACAACAAAAGAGATTTTTAAAGATTTTCTTTATCTGAGAGTGAGACAGAGAGCACGAAAGAGGAAGCATAAGCCGGGGGGACGTGCAGAGGGAGAAGTAGGCTCCCCAATAAGCAGGGAGCCTGATGCGGGGCTCAATCCCAGGACCCCGGGATCATGACCCTAAGCTGAAGGCAGACGCTTAACTGACTGAGCCACCCAGGAGCCCCTCTAGGAAGCTTTTTAAAGCAGCTATCATAAAAATATTTCAAAAAGCAATTATGAACACATCTGAAATACATTTTAAAAAAGTCTACGCAAAAACAGAAAATCTCAGGAAAAACAATGTAAAGATATATACACATATTTATATATTTTCAAGATATAAAAAATAAAATGAAAATTTGAGGGAAAAAATTATATAAAAAATACCATAAGTGAGCTTAACAACAGAATAGAGATGAGAAAAAGAATCAGTAAACAGGAGTATAAATTGAAGAGAAAAAAGACTGATGAAAAGAAAATGAACAGAATCTGAGACATGTGGGATATCTAACATTCATGTCATCAGTTTCAAAAGAGAAAGGAGGTGGGACTGAAAAAACATTTCAGAAATAATGGCCTAAATTTTACCAAATTTAGCAAGAACCATAAACCTACATATTCAAAACTGAACCAAACAAGATAAACCTCCCCCAAAATCCATACCAAAACACATTATAGTCAAACTTCTCAAAACTAAGCACAAAGAAAGCAGCTAGGAAAAACAATGTACTAAATACATGGGGGAAAAAATTTAAATGATAAGATTTATCCTCAGAAACCATAAAGGCCAAAGAAAACAGCACACACTTGCCAAATGTTCAAAGAAATATCAACTCAGAATTCTACACTAGTGAAAATATCCTCCAAAAATTAAGAAGAAATCAAGATATTCTCAGATGAAAGAAAACAGAATCTGTTGCCAGCTGATCTATCCCAAGAGAATGGCAAAAGGAAGTTCACTAAACAAAAAGTAAACAATAAAAAAAGGAATCCTGAAATATCAGGAGGTAAGAAAATATGGTCAGAACAGAAATACATGTAAATATAATAAACTTTTCTTCACATCTTGACTTTTCTAACAAGTCTGACAGCTGAAGCAAAATTCTTTTTTTTTTTTTTGAAGCAAAACTTCTAACATACGGTCCTCAAATATAAAAGAAATGTGAATGCTTGACTTTGAAAAATACGTATTTATGAATAACGTAATAACTAGAACCACCACTAAAAAAGAAATACAAAGAGATACACTCAAGAAACATTATAGATAAATCAAAATGCAATTTTTGGGGTAACTGGGTGGCTGAGTTGGTTAAATAAGCATCTAACTCTTGGTTTGGGCTCGGGTCACGATCTCGGGGTCGTGAGATCGAGCCCCACTCTCTGCAGAGTCTGCTTTGGATTCTTTCTCTCCCTCTGCCCCTCCCCCCACTCACACACTCTCTCTTCCCCTCTCTAAAATAAATAAATCTTTTTAAAAAATGAAATTTTAAAACCTGTTCAAATAACTCACAAAAAGCTTAAGTAAAAGAACATAGAGAAATTAAAACAGAACTAAAGGAAAACAAAAAACAAAATGGCATACTTAAACCTAACATATCAAAAATTACATTAAACGTAAATGGTCTAAATATACTAGCTACAAGATGAAGGTTTGTCAGATGTACAGGGAGAGATGACCCAATTATATGCTGCCTATGAGAAACTCACTTCAAATGTAATGGTATATGCAGCTTGAAAGAAAAAAGATGGGAAGAGGCACCATGCAAACAATAAAAAGTAAGCAGAAGTAGCTATATCAGTATCAGATAGAGCAGACATCAGACAGAAGAAAATTACCAGAAACAGAAAGGGACATTACATTATAATACAGTTAATCCAGCAAGAAAATATAAAAAACAGAGTTGCACATATAAATTAGACAACTTATATGAAAAGGACCAATTCCTCAAAAAGTACAAATTACTACAACCCACTCAATAGGAAATAGAGAATAAACATTCCTATAACTCTTAAGAAAATAGAATTTATAATTAAAAATATCCCAAAAAGAAATCTTCAGGCCCGGACTGTTTTATTGGAGATTTCTACCAAACATTTAAAAAAGAATTAACACCAATTCTATATAATCTCTTCTAGAAAAAAGAAGAGCAGGGAAACACTTCCCAAAACTCATTCTGTAAGGCCAGTATTACCCAATAGCAAAATAAGAGTACAAAAAAAAAAAAACTACAGACCAACATCCTTTATGAATATAGATGCAAAAATTTTTATAATATTAAACAGAATTCAGCAATAAATGAAAAGAATTATACACCCCAACTAAGTGAAGTTTATTCCAGGGATGCAAGGCTGGTTCAATATTTGAAAATCAATCAGTATGATCCATCATATTAGCAGGTTAAAAAAAAAAAATCACATGACCATATCAATTGATGCAGAAAAAGTATTTCACAAAATTCAACACCTATTCATGATTTAAAAAAGAAAAAAACTGTCAGAAAACTAGAAATGGAGGGAACTTCCTCAATTTATTGTAGAACATCCTCAAAAACCTACAGCTAACATCATACATAATGTAGAAAAACCGAATGCATTCCCCCTAAAATCAGGAATAAGGCAAGGATGCCTGCTCTCACCACTGCTATTCAACATATTAGAAATTCCAACCTGGGCAAGGAAATAGGTGGCACACAGACTGGAAAGGAAGAAGTAAAATTCTCCCTATTTGTAAATGACATGGTTGTCTATGTAGTATATCCCAGAGAAGTACAAAAAAATACTTCTAGAACCAGTAAGTGAGCTTAGTTAAGTTCATAAGCTACAAGATCAACAAACAAAAATCAATAAACTTGGGGAAATTGAAATTCAAAATACAATACCATAGACAAAGATTCAAAAACAAAAGAAATAATAGTAAATCTAATAAAACATGAACAAGATTTTTATACTGAAACTACAAAATGCTGGTGAAAAGATCAAAGAGCATCTAAGAGATACAGTCATTGACTGGAAAACTCAACATAATAAAGATGTCAATTCTCCCCCAATAAACCTGATACAGAAGCTTAAAACAATTTCTATCAAAATCTATCAAGGCTTTGTTGTAGATTTAGACACTTCATATGGAAAGGAAATGGAATGAGAACAGTTAAGGGAATTCTGAAAAGGAAGAATAAAGTGGGGGATCAGTCTATCCAATCTCAAGACTTTTTATACAGCTACACTCACCAAGTCTGTGTGGTGTCAGAGGAAGAAAAACAGAGATCATTGGGACTGAACAGAGAACCAAGAAATAGACACACACAAATACAGCCAACTGATTTTTAACAGAGATGCAAAAGCAATTACAGAAAGGACTAAAAGTCTTTTCAACAAATTGTAGTGGAACAATCAGACATCCATATTCAAAAAAATGAACCTTAACTTAACCCTAACACCTTATAAAAAATTAACTCACAATGGAAAACACTTAAGTGTAAACCCTGGGACTATAAAACTTTCAGAAAATAGCACAGGAGAAAACCTTAGGAAACCTGGTCTGGTGAAGTGTGAAACATGACAACAAAAGCACAAACCATAAAAACTGAGAAACTGGACTACATGAAAATTAAAACTGTGAAAGACATTGTTAAGAGAATAAAAACACATGCTACAGAACACATATCTGACAAAGCGTTCCTATTTCAAACATATATATGACAACTTCAAAACTCAATGTTAAAAAAAATAATTAGAAAACAAGCAAAAGACATAGGACATTTTACTAAACAGGATATATGATGTCAAATAAGCACATAAAAAATGGCAACATCACTACCTATTAGGGAAACACAAATTAAGATCAGAATGAAATATCACTACACACCTGTTGAACAGCTAAAATAAAAAAACAGTGATGCCACTTAATGCTGGGGAGGATGCAGAGAAACTGGATTACTCATCAGTGAAATGCTAGAGTCATTCTGGAGAGTAGTTTGCTAGCTTTTCAAAAAACTAACCATGTATTTACCATACAAAAGACCCAGTAATTCCATTTTGGAGCATTTTTTCGCAGAGAAATAAAACCTTATGTTTCTACAAAAACCTGTACGTGATGACTGTGCACAGTGGGTTTATTGGTAATAGTCAGAACTCTGAAACAACCCCAACAGATAAATGCTCCTCAATACTTAATGAGGTACACATGCAACAATCTGGATGGCTCTAAAGGGCACTGTGCTAAGTGAAAAATACCAAACTCAAAAAGATCACATGCTGTATGACTCAATTTATATAACATTGTGGAAATGACAAAATTATATAGACAGAGAACAAATCAGTGGTTGACAGGAGTTAGGAAAGGGGAAGGAAGATGTGACTATGTAAGGGTGTAGAAGGAAGATTTTGTGAACAGTTTTATATCTTGACTGAGGGGCTGATTACACAAATCTACACATAGGATAAAATGACAAAAAACCAGACATAAACATTGTGCCAATTTCAAATTCCTGGTTTTGATTTTATCTAACATGTAACAACTGGGGAGCTGGGTGAAGAGTACATGAGATCTCTACATATTATTTTTCCAACTTCCTATAAATCTATAATTATTTCAAAATTAAAAGTTAAAAAAACAAAACAAAACAGAAGTACCTCCCACAACAGAGACTTCTATATGTAGCACTGACCACTTGGCACTTCTAACTAGGAGATACCCCCAAGGTATTTGGTATGTGATTTTTTAAGGTTTTGTTTTTTCAAAATAAAAGCATTTTTTCTGATTATAAAGAGAATTCAAATATTTGAATTCTCATTTATTAATTAATTAAGTATAAACCATAAATCATCAACATCATATTACCAAAGCAACTGTCATTAACATGAATCATTTTCAGGTATATCTTTAAAACAAAATGTGAACATGAAGATTATAAATTTTACGAAAGAAAACAATAACCTGTTTTTAAAAAAAGTTTAAAGAAGAAAAGGGTTGAGTATGTTTCTAATTTCTCTGATAGTGGCTCAAGGTTCTTTTTTATTTTTTAAAAAGGACAGTAGCACAGAGACCACAACTTCCCTTCACTTGGATTCCAAAACGCCAAGATTCGCTCCCTACCTCGGGGGTTGGTGCAGCATAGGCTGTATAAGGAGGTGGGGAAGAAGCCACAGCTGTCTCATCATACAGGACCTCTGAGCCAACGTAAGCCTATGAGAGGAGAGAGAGAATGAAAGAGAGCTGTCACAAAGCAACTATAGGCTCTTAGGATTCTATGCATATATGTCCTTTTTATTCAGCAAATTCTTAAAACATAGAACAGCAGGGGGGCAGAGCAAGATGGCGGAGGAGTAGGAGACCCGGATTTCCTCTGGTCTCAGGAATTCAACTGGGTAGGGATCAAACCATTCTGAACACCTACGAACTCAACAGGAG